GAAGAATTAACGTTAGACTTTCGCCACTGGGTATACTTGGGACAGAGCCACGCCCATCCCATCGCCTGTCAACGGATGGTCAGGATGTCCACAGGTATATAAGGGGCGGCTGCCGCTTTACCCGACAGACAGCTCCTCGACGGTGGGTCAACATGAACGCTCTGGTAAGCTTTACTACACGAAATTTTCTTGTGAATTATTCAGTGACATCTTAACTCGACAACATATAATTTCATGAATATGCTTATAATAAATGGATATTTCTTTTCAGACTGTGATTTCCGTGGCGGCCCTTGTGGCTAGCGGCAGCGCCTCCTTGCTTGCGTTCAACGGCGTATATGGAGGTCATCACGGCCTTCTTGGCGCCTATCCTTATGCAGGTTATTCTGGCCTGCACCCTTACTCATACGCAGGTGTCCACCCTTACTCATACGCAGGTGTCCACCCTTACTCATACGCAGGTGTCCTTCCTGCAGCTGCTCCTCTCAACCTCAAAACACCTTTAACCAACACCGTGGCTCCTGCACCTGTCTCCTACAGCGTAGCTCCCTCACCTGTGTCCTACAACGTTGCTCCCTTCGCACCTGTAGCACCTGTCCAGTCTCAGTATCACGCTCAGGACGAGATCGGTCAGTATTCCTTCGGTTACGCCGGTGGTCCTTCTTCACGTGCTGAGTCTCGCGACGCCTTCGGTGTTGTCCGTGGTTCATACAACTATGTGGACTCTGAGGGAAAGGTTCAGACTCAGCACTACGTGGCTGACGCCCTCGGATTCCGTGTCTCCGGCACCAACCTGCCAGTGGCTCCCGACGCCCCTGAGGCCGCCCCTCTGGCCGCCCTTCCCGGTCCCATTCCCGAACCCGTCCAGGACACTCCTGAGGTAGCCGCCGCTAAGGTCGCCCATCAGCAGGCTTACGACGAAGCTGCAGCCGCCGCTGCTGCCGCCCCCGATACCCGCAAGAAGCGCTCCGTCCTTGCGGCTCCCGGCCTCGGCGTCTACTCTCCTCTCCGTTTCTCCTACGGCTTCTCCACTCCCCTCCACTACGCCCACCCAGCACCCTATGCTTCTCCTCTTCACTACACTGCCGCCCATCCCGCCCTCACCACCTACAACGCCGCCCACGTCCCCACCACATACGCCGCCGCCGCCGCCGGACCCGCTCTCCGTGACGCCGAGCTCCTCCGTGTGGTCCACAACCCCAGCCACGCCACCTCCTACCGCGTGCTCAACTGAGTGCCGCAAGGTCGTTCACCCACAGTCGCCTGTGTGGACATGGTGTGTAGAGCACTCGCCCGATCATTCACTTGACTTTTAGATCCGTAAAGCAAAAGTTTTATTCTATGTCATGTGTATATGAATCTTGGGTGTAGTGTTGACACCTGCCATGTCATACTGTACACATTTTAAGAGCGTAGTCAAGTCAGTGATATTCAGAAATATGGTATCATTATAATTATGGTATTATAGAATCTCTTGTAAATACAAAGAGTGAGAAAGTAACGAGTAATTCATTCGCCCAATGCAATAACAATCTTAACAGTCGTAGTAATCACAAAACAAGAAGTTCTAGAAAATTGTCTCTTTGTGTCTTCGTAAATGAAGACACACAGGTACGAAATAATATATATCTCTCGTCTGCAGAGACCTTAGAATAATTCTTCATTTTATCCAACTCTCCATTATGTTAAGTCTTCTCTCTATATATCAAGTTCTGTCTTCATCTCTATTTTTCACTTATTCTCTCCTTCGCTGTCTCCCTGTGGTTCTTTTTTCTTTCTCCTTCGGGTATGGTAGGAAAATCAAACTTCCACCTCTGCAGACATACCAGAATACCAGAATAGTTCCTTTTTTATCGAGCTGCATATCATTTTGAGTCCTCTATCTCTGTAAATTTCTATCCCTGTCTTCATCTCTCTTTCTTCTTACTTCCTTTCTCTCTCTCACTTTGGTTCTTTTTCTTTCTCTTGACCCCTCTCTGTTTACCTCTCTCTCTCTTCGCTTCACCTCTTTCTTTTACACCCTTCTCTCTATCTCTCTATCTAGTTCAAGGTTTTCATCCTGAAAGTATGCCAGGGATTCTTCAGAAGGTCCGCCGCCCGTTGGTGTCGCATGGTATCAGTCAATTCTTGAAAAGAAAACTACGAAATATCACTTCTAGTCAGGCACTGTTGGACCCTTTGTAATGACATGTGTAATTAGGCTGCTTATAAACTCCCTAATTTCGTTCATATCGATCATTATATGCACCAACTTGGTGTCTTTATCATGAGCATTGTTTATGTAGTTCCTCGTTTGTTATTATATGCTATAAATACTTATAAGTGAATGCTATTCTATTTTATTCAATTAGCATCGAAGGAAAATGGTGCATGGAAAACACCAAAGTAGTATGAACCAGGTAGCTCCACTCTACCTAGTTGCCAACATCCGAGCTCAGCCCCGCCTCTTTGCCTTTATTCATTGCAAATACTAAATTTTTTTTTGTTTTGTTTTGTTTTCGTTTTTTTCTTGGTATAATTTTCCCGTGCTGTGTGATGCAGCGGTAGCGATCTCGTCTAGTAATCGTGCTGACCTGCGTTCGAATCCCTCGCCACCAGTGGATGGTAACCCCAGCCATTCCTTGGATAATTTAGAAGCAATATAAAACAGACAGTATGTCACATCAAGAATATCCATTGTAACAAATGGAATCAAACTATTATTATTATTATTACAGTGAACTATTTCAAAGAAAAGCACAAAAAATATACCAGATCAAAGTACAACTGCACTGTGAGATATCAGGCATAATTGTTTGTATGAATTACTCGATATTTTTATAATTACCAGAATTAAGACAAAAATTCCTCTCTTGTATGTATGATAACGAAGAGTTTTCTACCATTAAAAGCTTTGGATGAACAGGACAAACGGAAATGAAGCTACCTGGTAACCAGGTGTATGTATGCATACATACATACATGCAGACCAATTACATACTTCTTGTCAGTTGGATTAGTTTTTTTCTCGCCAGTAAATGGTGCCGCACATCCTTCTAAATAAATTTACCAAGTAGATTTTTTTTTCGCTTGGGATATACTTTCGATTTACCAATTGATTATTCATTCATCTTCATAATCATACTAAGAAACAGAAAAACGGCAAAGTTACTAAATACAGCATTCAAAGAATACCAAGACCATAAGAACATCCTTGTTTCAGGACTAAAAGGACATTAGTTAGCTGCTTGGAACCCCAATGCCATAATTTTAACACAGACGAGCGCCGTGTGTTAACTTCGTATACCTCGTTAAAATTTCTTGGTTTTCATACTCTAAACTGAATTTGCTGACTTTGACTTTTCGACAAATAAATTGATGTGCTGTGATTTTATGTATATATAGTGTACTAAGTGTATACATTTTATTTTGTTTTTATTTTCATAATTATTGATTGATTGATTGATTTTATTTGTTTATTTTTTCTTTTTAAGAATGAGGAGGAAGCAGCCCATTTCGATATGCTAATAATAATTTTATGGGATGTTGATCATTCATTATTTTTACTGTTTGATGAAAATCTATTTCGTATTGCATGTCTGTCTTACAGGCTTCCAATTCACCGTCGCGTATGTTGCATTCACATTATTGTGATGATAATGTGCGTATTTTCAAAGGTGGGAAACTAGTCATTACATGGCATAAGAATCTGGAACCATAGTATATTGTTTGTTGCTAGTTTTGTATGCTTGTGTGTTTGTAAAAAGATGTTTCGTTCGCGAGACATTTGTAAACTTTAAAGACAACTAGTTCTGTAAATTTCAACCCAGCAACCAAAAGAATGAAAAAATACTCTGGTATTGTTAGACCTTGAAATATTCAGGCAGGGGACCCATACTTTCTCAATGAGCAGTTAGTCCTTGTCCATTTGTTTATTTTGTCCTTCCTCCTTTTACTCTTCTTTTCTCTCCGATTTGCTCGTCCTAATGATGCCTTTGGACTTACGTTACTATTCATGATTCTCTCATGGCTAAAATGAAGAGAAGAATAAACCTTGTTATCTATCTAAATTTACGCCACTGGGTATACTTGGGACAGAGCCACGCCCATCCCATCGCCGTCAATACATGGTCAGGATGTCCACAGGTATATAAGGGGCGGCTGCCGCTTTACCCGACAG